TATTCAACGGATTAATTACCCGTAAATTTATTAATAGTGTTTGGAGGAGTCGGTCACCGATGATATAAAAAAAAAAATTATGCGAGTTCATTCGGAGGCATCTAATTCGCATAAAATGAAATCTACGTCAAGTGTAAGTCAAATTTTATGGTTTATTTATATATTTTTTAATTATTTAAAAATTTTACAATTTTGGGTAAATGTTGGGTAATTTTATTACTTACCGTTTTCATTATTCATTGTGTATGTCAATTAATGCATGAATGAAATTTCATGAAATTATCAATTATCAATCAGTTCTTATTTTTTTTCTTTCTTGCAAAACTGTCAGTTTTGAAAGTTTTCATTATCAATTCTATTGGTTTTTTCAATATTCTAATTATTTATTAAAAAATTAAAAAAAAACTTATATTTACTTTAATATAATATTTATTTTTTTTTATATTTTTATTATAATAATATTTATTTTTCATACGTTATAATTTGCAAATTTAAATTTTACATTTTTTTTTCACTATTTAATCTATTTTTTTATTTTTTTAAATATTTGAAATATTTAAATATTTCATTAATTTATACGTTCTTTTATTTCAAATTAAAATTCCATTGGAATTTTGAATATGTTGAATTAATTTATTAAATTAAATTTTTATTAAATTATTTATTTTTACAATTTAAATATACAATTTCAATGATTTTTGCAAATTTGTGCATATTTGTGCATAAATCATTTTGTTTAAAATAATATTTAATAAAACTTTTCAATCACTGAAATTATATAAACTTATGCAATTTACTTAATTTTATTTAAGCAATTTAATTTTTTTTTCAACATTTCAAATAATTTAAATTTTTTAAAAATTTTACATAAAATCGTAATTATTTAGTTTTTTATCTTCTTATAAAACGCTTTATATTTTCTTATTTTTTTCCCATTAATTTCAATTTCTCGTTTTACAGCACAGTAAAAAGAAAGGATTTATTTAGTATTGTAGTTATATTATTTGAGACTAGTTTTATGCTTTCTTCCTTCGTAAATACCAAATTATTTATTATATTTATCGATACAACTATATTTCTTTCTGTTTTTTAATGATAAATTCCGATAAATTCGAGTTCGAGTAGCTCGAGTGAATTTTTTTATTCGCTTTATTCACTCATTCATTAAAATTTATATTAAAAAGAAGAATGAACGCTATATTAAAAATAAAAAAAATAAAAATCACTTGACAAATTGCATAATATTTCATTTCATTTTATTTAATTCTTCGACAAAATTTTATAAAAATTTTTATTTAAATTTTAAGGTACCAAACTAATTCAATTAGGAATTTTTATCAAAAAACACCTAAAAATTCGAAGTATTCTTTTTTTTTATCAATAAATTGTTAAACGATGAAATTGAATGGTGTAATTGCATTGACTAGCGTCAAATATCATAGGTTCAATTCTCCTACAAGCAGTGAATTTATCGCAGAAAACCCAAGTAATAGTAGCCGAATCATTTCTATTCCTAAATGACTCTGGCAAAATAGCAAAAAATTTATATTCATATAAAGCAATCTGTGGAATTAGTTGAACCAGAAATGGTGAGTGGTAATCATTTTTTACTTACTCAATCTGTTAAATGATGAACGACGTTTTCCCTCTTTCATTCTCCAATTTGCCAATATTTGCAATTCATATAATTTGAGAATAAATAGTTAAAATGCTTAAGTTTGAAATGAAGATGAATCGAAGGGTTTTTGATAAGAATTTGGCTCAAAATGGGTCAATCAAGACCTGGACTGATACAGTCAAGAAAGATTTTGAACATATAGGGGGACCACTAGCAATATATGGACTTAGACAATGGAAAAAGGAATGGCTTCTATTACTACTACGTATGGCATCGGACCGGGCAGCTTGGAGACGTTTTACTCTTGTAGCCAGCGGAGCCAGCCTAACCAGCAAAGGTTTTAGAAGAAGAAGAACTTTGCTTAATTCATTTATCTTACCATATTCGACTACTGCATTATTAAAAAAAGATTTTTCGCCATTATTTTTTTCTAATTTATTCCTTTTTTTGCAGTTTCCGTAAAAAAAATAAGTAAGCATTAATCATTTTCGGGATAACAATGGGAACAATTAATAATTACTCAATATATCTTATTTTTATGCATTTGGGAAATGTCATTTGGGAAATTCATATGCAATTTGAAATATTTATCATTAATTCCTATGCAGACGATAAATGGATAATAATTAAAAAAATGCTTATAATAATTCCATAAAGATGCGAGAGAATAGTATAGTATAACCATTCTGATAATTAACTATAGAACGGAAACTAAATTCATGCAAAATTCCTATCAATCATGAATAAACTAATAAAAGAAATTAAATATAATTAAAAAATAATCAAATTTGCAATATTTAGTTGACACAAATCGATATTAATATTAATATTTTAATTAATATTTTAATATTAACATTAAATAGATCAACAGTGTATTCACTTAGTAACGAACTTCATCACTTTAAAGATCAATTCTTCTTCTTCTTCTTCTTCTAACAGCTCACACCATTACTGGTTAGGCTGGCTCCAACGGCTACAAGGGTAAGCGGCGCGGTCTGATACCATCGTCGACAGTAATGGAAGCCATTACTTTTTCCATCGTCTAAGTCCATATATTGCTGGTCCACCTATACGTTCAAAAAAAAGATCAATTATTAATTATTAATTATTTTAATTATTTTTTATTCCTTGTAATGTCATCTAAATCGTGGTGTATTGCTGCGATTGTGTGGTCCTCGCATGTTAACATGGAGCAAATATTGTCATTGAGACTAATGGAATTCAAATGACGTTGGGAACCCAGCTGTGAATTTCATTTATCTCAAAATTATATATATATACATACTATAAAAGTTTTATATGAATTTATATGTTTATTCCAATAATAATAGAAATCGAATATAACAAAAAGGAATAATTTATGTGAAAAACCTAATCAATGATTTAGTCACCTAATTTATGTTTAGCCAATAAACTAATAAAGGAATGTCCTGTGGAACAGCGAGATTCAATACAAAATTTTTCACTCGAAATCATTGCGTTATAAGCAAATAACAGAGAACCAGTTTTTGTAAAAATTGGATTAATTCCATTAAGAATTGCTTTCTATTTAATTTCGCACGTTTAAAATTTTATTCAATTTTAATAAATTATTTTAAATTTTAAAATTTAATTTTGATTCATTTTTTTTCAATTAAAATTTTTGCAGGCTTTTTTTTTATAATTTTTATGATTTTTATTTTTATATAAACTAAACTAAACTAAATCGCTTAACAAATTTTAAATAAATATTAATTATTAATGCATTAAAAAAAGATTTGATTTAAATTTGAGAGAATTTATTTCAATAAATTTTATATAATAAAAAAAAAAAAATTTAATAGATTTAAGAAAATTCATTCATTATTGTTGTATTTTAGGAATTTTTACAAAAGTTATAAAATAAAATATCAAATTTTTACGAAAAAATATTTGCAAAAGATGAAATAATTAGTTCAAAAAATTTTCAAGAAGCAACGCCAATCTCTTCAATCTTTATGAAAAAAATAAACAATAATGTTGAAAATCAGCTGTAAATAATCCATCTCATTTCAGATCCTCCTTCAACCATAGTACCAAAGTTATAGTACCATAATTCCATATAGGAATTCACAACTGATTCGATGAAATTTTATGAGTCCGAATAAATCATCGTAGACATATCTATTATCGCTCGTCCTAGCCCAAATTTAATTAGAAATAATTATTTAATTATTTCTAATTATACAATAGATCAAAATTATTTTTAAATATTTATAAATTATTTATATATTGTTGAACATCGATAAAGCAAATTTAATGAAAAATCCTATTACACCACGAATTTTTCTTTCTACATTTCTAGACTGGCTGGCTCCGCTGAAAGGAGTGCTTTAGCAATAGAAATAAATTTTTTAACGAAAAATTTCTATTCGCAGTTGGATGGATTTTCAATGCGAAAGTTAATTTCAATCGACCAATATTATTTAATATAAAATTATATAACCGCAAAAATATATAAAAATATATAAATGTATAAGTAAGTATATAAAAATAATAATTTATAAAATAAATGGAAGCGTTTTTTTTTAAATAATTTCTTACTTATTACTCGAATGATGCTGGCGACTTACTTGTATTTCTATCGCCAAGGGACTTTCTGGCATATCCAATACGACAAGCCAGCGGTGCGAGTTCAAGCGGCAGTGGTGAAAACTCTCTCCTAAAAAAAAAAAAATTTAAATAATGTAATACTATGGAAATAATGTAATACTATGTAATAATAATGTAATGTAATGAAAAAAATTAACAAACATTAATGATAAAATTAATAAATTAATAATTATTAATTAAAATTATTAATTAATAAATTAATAAATAATAAATAATTAATAAATTAATAAATAGAAAATAAATATCAAATTATAAATATAATAAAAATAAATATAACAAATAATAAATTAATAAATAAATAAAAAACGATGAATATTAATAATAATATATTAATAATATTGTTATATATAATATAATATTAATATTCATTATTAGCGATTTTCATTTTGCCTTTGCTTTTTTCATTTTTTATCATATTTATCTTCGATTATGTGCATTTCATTTTCTCGACAAATGCACTATGAAAGCCTTCGAAAAAGATTTTTAGCGGCCTTCGTAACTTTTATTATAACTTTTAAAATACTATTTTTTATTTATTTATTTATTTTTTATCATTTATATTCTTTTCTTTCGAATTTCTTATGCCAAAGAAATAGAATTCTTTCATTTAAATCGCGTGCATCAAAATGATAAATACGGTAACGATGTACCGCAAAATAATGCGGCCGCGACCACCCCGGCAAATTTTATATTTTTTTTTCTAAATTCTTTTCAATTTTTAAATTATATTTTTGAATTTTTTATTTTTTAGTTGCTCAATAAGTTTTTGGTTGGAAAAAAATCGTCGAATTCGGCTTTATATTCGAAAAAATGGAAAGAAAATTTTTCGCGTCGGCCTACATGGTGTGACGCTGATATGGCTTTACAACAAATTAATCAAGTTCGCTTGCTTTTTTTCTCACTTTTTTTTTTATATATTAAACAAAGAAATAAATATTATTGTTATCACTGTTTAATCACTATTTAATTGAAGCGTTATTTTATTGATAAAGAAAAAAGAAAAATGAAAGTGATAATTTTGAGTGATAAATTTACCTTGTTTTTATCTCTAAATGATTCTCTTTTTATAACGAATTTCTTCGCTAAATCTTTTTATAGAATTTATAAATCTCTGGCTAAGAGGTGCTTAATTCTAGTGATCGGTAATAGGATGAATACTGAATGCTGACGTTCCATGACAAAAATTTGTCGAGCCAATAGAATTGGTTGAATTTGAAATAATGAGCGCTCTTCGAAAAATAAAAAAACGAAAAAAGCTTAATAAACGCTAATAATCAAATAGGCAAACTAAGCAGCCTGTTTGCCATCATTCTACTTCTAGCTAAAAAGCCCCAAGCCTAAGCCTTAAATACATGGAAAATATAGGATAAGAAAATAATAATAGTAATGGTAATAATAATAATAATAATAATAATAATAATAATAATAATAATAATAATAATAATAATAATAATAATAATAATAATAATAATATTTTTTAGGGTGCAGCAACGGGTAATCGAACTGCCTTATATTCGCGTTCATTTTTTCAATATCTTCTATTTAATTTGGGTACGTTTGTACAAGAATGGGCATATACAGTTATTATCATATCATTACTATCTTATCTGATATGTGCATTTGGTTTACAGAATGTTCGTATTGAAACTGATATCGTTAAATTATGGGTATCTGGTTAGTTTTTTTTTTTAAATTTTTTCTATTTGATTCTTTTAAAATTATTTTTTATTATTAATTATTCAAATTTGATATAAGTAGTCGTAATTTCTACGATTTTAAAGCAATGCAGTGCTTATATTTGAACTTTTAATTATAATAGATTTAAAACAATCAAAAAAAGACCCTTAAAAATTATATATGGCGGTAATAAGTTTATTAAAATTAGTATTTCTTAGTGAATTTTGTTATTTTATTGCAATAAATTTATTCTTTCAAAATTATATAATTATATATAATTATATAATTATATAATTGAATTTCTCAAGGAAATAAAAATTAAATTGAATTTTAGAAGGTGGACGACTCGATGAAGAACTTAATTTTCTTTCACGAATTAAACAAAGTGAATTAAATTTTATTTCTCGAAATAAGCGCCTTACAAATGAAACACTTTGTACGTTATTTTATTATTTTTTGGTCTTTTTTTTCTTTAAGAATTCACCATTTTGCACCTTCACCAAGAATTCACCATTTTGCACTTGCACCAAGTATTCATCATTTTGTATCATTATCAAGAATTTCACCTTATTTCACCTAAATTTCACCTTTTTCTGCTTCATCGCTAAATTGTTCTATATCAACATATTTGAATTTTTTCTACATTCCTACATAAGTTGGTTTATTTCATTCGCTATTTTATCAATCCAAATTATCGATATCACTCGAGTGATTTCTTCTCATTTTTGCTTTATATCAGCATTTATTGCAGTTTATATAAATATCCATTCCGTTTATTTATTTTCATTCATTTGTATGATATTCTTATGAATGAAAAACAATTATTATTTATTCATCGGCTATCAGCAAAACACGAAATATATGAATATTTTTTTAAATATTTTCTTTAAAATTTGCTTTTTATTCTTATTTTGATATTATTTTGATATTAATTGTGGTAGTTTATGAAAAGGAATTGCAGATAGGTTAAACGCTGCCATCAAACCCGTGAATATGAAACTCGATAATGAAAACTTTCAAGTGCCTAAAGAAAATGGTCTAGGTGGCGGATTTCAGGTACGTAGTCATATATAATTCCAGTTAAACATTTGCTAGTCAAATCACAAAGCTATATTGAACACAAGCTTTTAAATTAAATGAAACAGATTTTTTATTATTTATTATAATTTTTTCCAGGTTGTTATACAAACGACTGAGGTCAAAGGTTTCAATGTTTTAAACAAAATTTCACTGTTAAAGCATGTTGATTTGATGCAAGAAATTGCTAATATTAAAGTTGAAATGTTTGGCGAGTAAGTTTTTATTTCGATTTATGTTGATTAATAACATAGAAATTTATAATATATTTATAACAAATTTCATATTAGTTTTCGCGAAAATAAAAATTGAAATTGTAAAATTGCTATTGTATGAAACAAATATAAAATTATTTTTTTCAGCTTTAAAATTTCTTTTAGAAATTGGACTTTATCGGATATTTGCTTTAAACCTCCTGCTCCAAAGTTTGGTACAGGTCCTTTAAGTGGTACTGTTTCTGCACTCTTAGATCGCATTATTCCGTGTATATGGATTACGCCAATCGATTGCTTTTGGGAAGGATCGAAACCACTCGGACCTCATCCGCCTCTCAATCTTGGGTATAAGTCTAATTTTAAAACTTCAGCATCTTTCTTTTCTAGAACTTTGAATGAATAATGGAATGGTGGACTTATAGTCTTAATTATCGTTTAGATTTCTCAAGAATTTGAATTTGAAAAATTCGAAAGCAGAAATTCTTCATTTAACGAAAGTAAGAAAAGAAAAGAAAAAAACTTGAAGCTTCTTGGAAATATGAAAAGTATTAATTCTCACATCCATTAAAAGGATTTATAGGTCGTTTATATCTATGTGAATTGTCTTTTTAGGTCTGATATTCAAAGTTTTATACCAAGTATACCCAAAGGCGATATATCATGGAAAAATTTGGATCCGTTTGCAGTTGTCAATGATATCGAAGCAATTTTTGATATTGGAACTATTAAAAATTTTTTTGAAAGAGTAATCTTTTATTTTTTATAAAACTCAGAAATAAACTTTAGTAGAAAGCCAGTTTTTTCAAGTTTTCTTTTTTTTAGCGACTTTTATTCATTTCATTTATTTAATCTAAACAAATCGATTTTAAATAAATATTTCAGTCAGGTATTGGAGGTGCTTATACCGATCGCTGGTGTATTGATCCGCTTGATCCTGAATGCCCATTAACAGCGCCAAATGGCTTCGATCGATGTGCAGCTTTGAAAAAATTTATACAGTGGAACCTAGCAAAACCTATGGACCAACAAATTCAACTCGATATTGATTTACTTTCGGGAGAAGTTAATATACTTGATGATGAATCGTTTTTTCATAAATTATTCGGTAATTTTTTCATAGATTTTTTTTTTCATAGACTATTAAATTTTTTGAAAACTTCTTTTTCTGTAAGAAAAGATTCAATTTTAAGGTGGGAAACGAAAGAAGAGAGAATTGCATCACAATAAAACTGAAGTAGAAGATTATTATGCATATGATGACGATAGCGATTATGCTGCTGCCATAAATGCTTCGATAGGTCAGTTTTTACTTTTTTTATTAGTCGTATAACTAAAAAAAAAATCAAACTGCAATAATTTGTAAAAAATCCAAATGCAATTATTATTCAGAATTAGATGTTTCCGCTGAAGATATAGAATGCGCTAAATTTGGTAAGAGTCTGCTCAAATGGATGAATAATAATAGAAGATTGTGGGAACAATTTTTATCTCCTGTATGTTCATTTTTTTCACTATTTATTTATCCATTATGCTACTTTGTTATTAAAGATAATTTTTTTTCTGCAGATTTAGGTGAATTTGAAGGTCAATTTTTTTGGTACCTTTTTCAGTGCTTTTTTGAATTATTGAATTAAACATTTTTGATTTATTTTAATAAGCGATCAAAATATATATTGGATGTTCGCTAATATAAAAGCGATTGAATATAATGTCAAAAATATTTCTAATATTATCAAAATATCTGCAAATCTTTGTGGTATATTTTTGGATGATGAGGAATATATTACAATTCATTATTATCGTTTGGTTTTTAAAGTGTTTTTAAAGGATGAACTGCCCGTGTTTCCTGATTATGGTCAACTCATGACTGGCGGATGTCATGGTTTTGCAAAAAATACAATGAAATGGCCAGAAGATTTAATAATTGGTGGAGTAAAGCACGAAAATTACAAATTAATTAGTGCAGAAGCTTTTCAGAGTGTTTTTCTTGTCGCTTCTGGTCAAGATGTTTATCTTCGTTTTAAGGTAGATTGTTTGCTATATTAAAATATTGCGATGATAATACTGGTGATAAATTTGAATCATTTGAAGGATTTGAAGCCGGACGTTAAGCCGAATTTGGATTTAATTTCTTGGAGTCCGAGTAAAGCTAATGAAGTTGTGGCAGCTTGGCAGCGAAATTTTACTGAAAAGCTATATAATCATAAATGGAATGATGAGGTTTTTTTATTTTTTCATGCTCTTCTACTTCAGACTATTTTGGGAGGAAGAAATTTTTGCGAAAATTTTGCAGAAAAAAAATATACGCTTGGTTCATCCACTGGCAGCCACATCAATTGAAGATATGTTGAAAGAATTCAGCCAGTTTAAATTTTTCGTAATCTTCGTTGGCTATCTTCTTATGGTATTTTACTCTTTAATTAAAATAGAGTATTGCTGCAGTAAGTGGGTATAGTGGAACCATTGAATGGCTTTATAGAATTGAAAGGTTATAATATGAAGAGACTCGTGATGCATGATGGATACAATAAATCATTAAGGAGAAGGTAATACAATTAGCTAACAAAAAGGAGAGGAGAAAATGGAGGCTGAGGATAGGAAGTGAGGTCTCATGCATTTTTTTTTCGTTTATTTTTGAGAGATATTTGTCCTAATTTGAATCGAAATTTTGTTACCCTTATTTGGATATGGTTAGTTGCTACAACTCAAAAACTTTATCCTAAGTCTCTCTTCAGGCCAACAATAATTCTACTTTTAATTTGATTTCAAAATTTTTAAAAATTTTTACAATCGAAATATCAATGATGTAATGGCACAACGACAAAATTGAGGGTAGAAAATAAGAGGAAAAATGCCACGGTCTTCTATTTATTCACTGTTAGAGTACCAATAAGCAAAATTTCAAAAAAGCTTTGGTTTTAATTTACTTTAATTGAATTTTTATTTTGCAGTGCATATATGCTGGTTGGTCACAACTGAAATGGGATGGCTGGTGGTTTGCTGTAGATTCATGTGTTGAATTAAGCATTCTTGGCGTGTTGCTTGTTACTTATGCTAGTATATCTGGACTTGGATTGTCAACTTGGTTAGATATACAGTTCAATGCAGCTACCACACAGGTATTTTTTTCGTGAAATTTTTTTAGAAATTTTTTAAATGAATTTTGTACTAAATTTATTTATTTTTTCTTCTGATAAGCTTTTGGTTCATTATCAGATTGTGCCTTTTTTGACGCTTGGCCTTGGTGTTGACGATATGTTTTTGCTTTTATATAACTATAACGAGTTAATGGATAAGGTCAAGGATCACGAAATTGGTACTTAACATTAAAAACTTCATTCGATTTTGTCAGAATGTTTTTTTTTGTTTTTTATTTAACGTTGTTCATTCAGTCTCTTAATTTTTTTTGAAATTTTTTTATAGTGAGGAATGAATTTCAGGTGTTTTGATGAAAGAGACTGGAATGAGTATTGTTATTACTTCAACAAATAATATCATAGCATTCATGGCTGGAACGGTTTTACCAATTCCTGCTTTAAGATCATTTTGTTCTCAGGTTAGAAAATAAATGTAATAAATTAAAATTGGATTATTTAATTATGATCATTTTTTCAAGTATTTTCAAGTACTTCTTTCTTTGTTATCTTTTTTTTAACATTTTAATATTGAAAAAGTGTAAAAAATTTAGTCCGCAATATTATTATCGTTTAATCTGGTCGCTATAATGGTTATCTATCCAGCTTTCATAGCAGTCGATCTTCGTCGGCGAAAAGCGGGTCGAAGAGATATGGGATGCTACTGTATGACTGCTGAAGCTAAAAAAGTTCGTGTTATATTTTATCCAACTTTAATTTAATTTATATTTGAGAAATATTTATTTGAATATTTTTTTAGTTGAGTGATGAAATTATGGCGATTAGTAATGGAACAAAAGCTATGAGTGATTTTTCATTTTCTTCTCATGTATATCCGGGTCCACCATCAGTTCATCCTATTATTAATGGGAAGCCTCTTATCGATAAGAAGAATGATGTCGAATGGTATACATTAAATGGATTCCTTCACCATTATTATATTCCTTTTTTACAAAAAAGATCTACCAAGGTGGGATTTTTCATTGATATTATCGTGCTAATGGTTTAATTACGATGGTTATATTTTAAATAGTAATAATAATAACAGTGATAATAACAATAATTATGAATAAGCAGAAAATAAAGATAGTATAGAGACAACCTTGCATTTTATTCGTTTTCGTTTTCATTTTTATTCGTTTCATTTATTCTTTTATTCTTTTTCTATAGTAATAATAGTGATTCTTTTGATAATGAAATGAATTATAATAATAACAATAGTAGTAAAATAGTAAAATGATATAACTGAGAATCGAAAATGGCCAGGAATTGGAAACTAATTGAGCTCAGCGTAGCCGAACTGCATAAACAAACGGAAGTAGAATACCTCAATGAGTTGTTGCCCAGTTTGAAGCACAAATGCTGAGGTTCTGTTTCCGGCAGGAATACCTCAACCTCAATAAATTTTGTACTTCTGTACTATCGTCAAGAGATTCTCTGGCTTTATTATCTGGTCCAACAAGCTAGCGGAGCGAGTTTAACTAGCAATGCTGAAGGCTCTAAGAAAAAATAATGGCAACAATAATGCGCTAAATAAATAGATAATTGAATAATAATGGCGATAAAATTTTAAATCTTATTCATTTTAAATGAATTTTTTCTGTTATTTTTTGATGAAAAATTCCTTATAAAAATGATCGACAACCAGTTTTTTCTCAATAGAAGAAAGTTAAGATGTTGGTATTAATTATGTGTTCATCTATGTTTCTATTCGGATGTATCGGGTTATATCATTCGACTCTTGGGCTTGAACTTTCCGATGTTTTGCCGGAGGGCACTGCACCTGCAGCTTTTCTGCGTGCTCGAGAACGATACTTTAGTTTCTATCCAATGTATGCTATACTAAAAGGACCAAATATAGATTATCCACAGAAACAAGAATTAATCGAGCAATATCGTTTAGACATTGGTTAGTAATTAAGTTTTTGTCTAATTTTTAATGTGCTTCACGTTTAAATATTCGATAAAAATGCTGATTTCTTTGTTAAATTTGAACTTTGACCTTTTCGCTTATTCTTATCAGTTTCTAGCTAAATCCGATTTTGTCATCAAAGTGGACGGTCTTCCAAGTGAGCAGTATTGGTTATCTTTATTACGGGCATGGTTAATTTCTCTTCAAGTGCATTTAGATAATGCTTTAAAAAAAGGAGAAATTGATAAATTGACGGGTAATATTATAAACAGTAGTGACACATCAGTGGAGGTTAATATTGCGCGACTTTTAACTTGTTCTGTTGGAAGAGTATTTAATTGTTCAGACAGAGTAAGTAATTTTTCAACACATTAATTTTATTATGTCTTCATATTTTTATTTAATTTTAAAAAATAATTATTATTCATTCCATTCCCATGGGCTGAATGATTTTATTTAGATCGGCAAAGTTCGACTTGTTGACCATAATGGCGTCATAAATCGCGAGGGATTTTATAATTATTTGACTGGGTGGTATAACATTGACAATATGATGTACTATGTATCTCAAGCATCGTTTTATCCGATACCGCCATCATGGAGCTATGTACCTAAGGTCACTTTATTTGCGTTTCTTTGCATTTTAATCTTTCTTTTTTTTTTAAATTTATCATAATTATTTAGAGCGATAATTTGGTGCCTCCAGCAGAACCGCCTGCATATAGTCAAATTCCATTTTATCTTACGAAACTTGTTGATACGCCTATAATTGTGGACATGATCACAGTTGGTTTATCGAAAATTAAAAATTGTTAATAGTCTGGCGAATTTTTGATTTGTCATTTATGGATAAACATCACAATTTTTGATGGTAGTGAATTTTCTTTTTAAAGGAAATCAGAAGCATATGTGAGCGATATAACGAAATCGGTTTACCCAATTTTCCATCTGGCTTGCCGTTTACTTTTTGGGAACAATATCTTCACTTGAGTTAAGTATCTTTTGAGTTTAATTTTGAAAATATCTGTTTCTAATCATTTTGCTAATTTTTCATGTTCTTAATCTTATTTTCTTGTAGGTGGCATTTGTTCCTTGCTATTTGCGTAATCGCATCATCAGTATTTATTGTAATATCGATGCTAATTTTTAATCCCTGGGCAGCATTTATGGTAATGGTCGTTGTAGTTTCAATGACTGTTGAATTAGCAGGATTTATGGGACTCGCGGGAGTTAAATTAAATCCAGTCAGCGCTGTTACTCTTATTACTGCTGTAGGCATCGGTAATTTTTTTTTTAAATTGGCTTTTAGTTTTCTTGTTAATTTTATACCAAATGTTAAATTTTTCGTGGTTTTTCAGGCGTCGAATTCACTGCACATGTTGTCTTAGCGTTTCTGACATCTTTAGGAACTAAAAATGAACGCATGGCATCATGCTTAGATCATATGTTCATTCCAGTAATACATGGAGGCCTCTCAACTTTGTTAGGTTTGTTATATTTATTTTGTATAATTAAAAACTTTATATTTGGATCTTTTTATTTTTCTGCGCATAGATTAATTTTAATGCATATTTTTAATTTTAGGAATTTTGATGCTTGCTTTCTCAGAGTTTGAATTTGTTGTCAAATATTTCTTCGTCGTTATGTCTGCTCTTATAGTAATTGGTCTTATAAATGGTCTTATTTTACTTCCAGTACTTTTATCCTTAATTGGACCCCGCTGCGAGGTTTTTTTCCATTTCCTTTAATGATTTTTGATATTTTTGAAAAAATTTTTATAATCTCACATCGGACTATATGTCAATATATGTTACGTTTTGCATTTCTAAATCATTCTGTATTTATATTGCAGATCCAACCTATAAGTGGTGGAAAATATTTACCTGTTCCTCCACCTTTTTCTCTAAATATTTGTAAGACATTAAAAGGAATCGAATCGAATCCATCTAACCGTATCGGAGGAGCTTTTGTCGAAATGCAGGCAAGTTTTCCGATTTTTTCCTCAAGGTTCTTAAATTCACTGGCTGCACATACTAGTTAAATTAGATTTTTTAAGGCTAATAATACGACTTCTAATGATGGCGGTGAATACGAATTCCACGATTCGTTATCGACAATTGCGGAGGAAAATGAAGTGGGTGGATTGTTTATTTGATTATTTGATTTCACGCATAAAATTGCAGGAAAATACAGCTGAAACGATTTTTTTTAAAGGTCTTTAATGCTTTAATAATTTAGAATTTGGCGCGTCGAAATACGGCACCAGTAGAGAAAAACGAAAAGGAACCATCAAATAGTGATGTGGACGAAAATGGAAAATGTCCGTTTCCAACAGTGAGTATTGTAACTCCGCAGCGCTCATCTTCACCACTCCTTACTCCAGAAAAAATTAATCCTCCATTTAGTTTTCGATCAAATGCACTCAGGTTTTAAATTTTATGTACCTTATGTAACATAAATTTTTTGGTGCCTTATAATTTGTCACTTAAAGATATATGTAATTCATTTTGTCGCTCTCCACATATTGAAGTGCTTAATATGTGATTATTTTTTAAAACTGGATTGTGCCTAATTTTGTTTTCATATGCTTGTATGGTATGAAAAATAACGGTAGTAAGGATAACATTTAAGTTATCTCCTATTTTCAACTATCTCAATGATGATAGAATGCCTTAGGGGCTATTGGCGGTAGTATTTATATTTTCTATACTGCTGTTCAGCATATTGCATGTATATATTTTCCAATCAAAATCACCTGACAAATTCATTATTGTACAATTTTTTGCTGCAGAGATTTGAACTGGAGATTTGTTGTTAAAACTTTTTATTTTTTACTAAACTGTAAATTATTTTTGATTGCCATGGCTAATTTAATAATATAATTTATTTTTGCTCTTTTTGTTTAGCTCTTTGGAAAACAAATGGATTTTCTGGTAAATTAAATAGGAATTAAATAGGAATAAATAGGAATTTTCCTAAAAAAAAAGGTTTCAGCATTTTTACTTTTTGCTCAACATTAATAATTTTTAAAGAAAATAAGAAGAGTATGTTTATTTAAAATATTTTAGGAAATTATGATTCAGCTGATTTTAATGCATATTATAAAAGTAATTATGAAAGAATATTATGAATGGAATGTGACGATCATATATACAAAGTAAATAATAACAATTAAGCTACTTTAGCTCGAAAGCAGTGGAAAAAACAATAAATAAATGAATATCAAGGATACTAAAGAAATTTTTTGCTCGTTTATCGCATTGGTATTATTGTTACCTTAAGCGTTAGACTACTTTAAAGAAAGAAAGTGCATAATATATATAATGAAATGATAAGCGTAAAGTGATTTCACCTACTTCTATATTCGATTAAAAGCCTGGCAAAGGTCCCTTGCCGATTGCATTAAGTAAAGAACTCCCAAATTTACTGAAAAATATAATTGATTTTAGTTCATTGAGCACCTTTTCAGCATCTTCTATAGATGAATCTCGTCCAAAACTGAAACGTACAGTACGACTGGCGAGTTCCTCATTTATTCCGCAAGCGCTTAAAATTGGTGAACTCCTGCAACCATAGAAATCAACCTGAATCAAGAGAGAATTTTAAAAAAAATCAATCTGGAGTATTAAATTATTAAATTATTTAATGATGAGCTGCTCTAATCGGAAATTGCCAATTTCCCTTCCGCACCTATAAAATAATTTCTTAGTATGTATATAAGTATAAGTATATCCGAAAGAAAATCCAAAATTTTATCAGAAATCTTCGCAATCCTCGCTAAACATTCTTTACCTCCTAAATCCGTTTATTTTTCTGTATCTTGATTCCTTACTTTTTCTAGATCCTTTTAGACCCCACAGAAATCTTCAAACATTCAAATCCCCTTATTCCCTTATTCCGCCTTATTCCGCGAACAACTTCCTCAGAAATTAAATCTTTAGCATTTTCAAAATCTCTCTCCCTTAATTAATCTAGTGATCCAAAACTACTTTTTTTTGTAATTTCATTATTCCATATACTCGTGGAATCAGTAATTATAATTACTTTGCTCGAATACCTGCACTAAATATATAGTCTATGATGGTTAGGACTTCGCTGATCATCGAGAGAATTGATGTATATTTTGATGCATCAAAAATGAAGTGCAACCAAGATTGAATAGAATATGATGGTGAAATTAAGGACGTATAGATAATTCAACAATATATGGGTTTAGATAATGAAGAAAGGAGTGTCTTGCTTTCAAATATGGCATCAAATCTACAGGCTTGGAAATGTTTCAGTCCTGTAGCCAGCATAGTGAGCTTATCCAAGAAAAAGCTATTGGAAGTATTTTCAGCTTATTTTGCACGTATGCTTTTTTTACTAGTTTTTTAATAAATTAACCAAGCGAGTGCGAATTTTTTTGGTTTCTTTTGGTTTCTTTTTCTTTTGAAAGAAAAAATCTTTTACTGAAATCCAAATGTTGAAGGCAAGAAGGGTCATTTCTACGTCTCACTTTAGTAATCGGTGGAATAAATATGGTGAATTACATGAATGGTAATATGATAAAGATGAAATAAGATGAATGGTAATGGTAAAAATCAAAAATGTTGCATATTAGAAAAAAAATTTACCGTTGCGAATAAGAATGACAGCTAGATTGCGTACTAGCGACAAATGATTTACATTTAGAAAGCAAATCTGTTGCCGTGCCATTATATGTAGAAAATGCAACGCTGCTTGTATTTGGCAACCTTTTTGATTTTTCGAAATGAATTATTACCTTATCAGCAAATGTTTCCTATAAAAAATTAAAGGAAATGAAAGAAACCGCAAAAATTTAAAAAAATAAAATAAGAGGTTCCTTCAGGATAAAAATTTTTTTAAAATAAATAAATTGCTAAAATACATAATAATATCATTAAGTTTTTCACCTTGAGTTTTTTTTCGAACCAATCTCTAACTTCACGATATTTTTTTTCAAATAATTGAAAATCATTAGAAACAATCTCACAAGCCTTCCCTAGTCCAGCAATCATTGGCGTATTTTCAGTGCTGAAAAAGCGAATTTAGTCCAACTTAAGAATTCTTCTTGCTGAAAAAAATAAAAAAGAAAAAACAAAAAAATGTCAATGTGCTCGACGGTAATTAACAGATGTTTTCATAAAAGAGTCGCATCCCTTTATAAAAATGGTTTCAGAAAATTTGGATAAGAAATATGTAGATGTAAACATGATGATTATTATACGCTCAGACAAAATCATAAATATACAAAAAATCATTACCCTCCTCTCATTCCGCGTTCTTGTCCACCGCCATGTAAAAAAGCAAATAAAGGTGTAGTGTTTTCTGAGCGAAGAACAAGTGCACCACATCTTGGTCCATAAAATTTGTGTCCACTTAATGAAATAAAATCTACCTTCAAGTCATTTAATTCAACTTTCATTTTACCAATTGCTTGTGTCACATCAGAATGTATTAAAATTTTACTATTGCAACGATTATTGAATTTCCTGCAAGAAAATACATAATAAGTGCATGCACATATACCAAAAGAAAAGAATATATGAATAAAAGATACTCTCTGACAACAAAGATTAATCCAAGTCAATGGAGCGAAACAATTCAAACCAAAAATAAAATGTTGCATCAATAAAAGATATAAATAAATAAAAGAAGAAAAAGAAGAATTAACGAATTTTCAATTTTTTTTATGTGATAGTATCGTTACGACAAATCTTTGAATAATTTTTTAAAAAATAAAAGCATGTTGAAATGTAAAATTTTATGTAATCAAAAAAAAAAGAACCTTATAAGATCAGAAATTCTGGCAAGAGGTTGAATAACTCCCGTTTCGTTATTTGCTAACATAATGGTCACCAAGCAAGTATTTTTACATAATGTTTTATCTATTTCATCAAGTTTTACAATACCACTTTCAAAATCAATTCCAATTATTGTTAAATCTAAAATAAATTTTCAAACCGCTTTAATTCTTTTTTTTTAAAATGCGTAAAATTATTTTTATTTCTATTTGGTTTATTCGTCAAATAAAAAAATAAATATGCTCAGCAACGTCTCATCCTAAATAGCCAATGAAGCCAACCAAATAAGAATTAACTGAATTAAATATGACAATACCCCAGCTATTCCATCGGCCGAAAAAAATTTCAGCCACATATAGAAAACTTTCTGGTTTGCAATATCAGAAGAAAAAAAAGAATTAGCAGAACTTTTTTGAAAAAAGAATGTCTGGAATGTCTACAAATTTATTTTAATTTTACAACCTTGAGTTTTAAGCTAATAAATATATAATATAATTTAATTTGCGAAAAATTAAAAATTAAATTATAATTAAATTAAATTAAATTAAAAAATTGCGCTATTCCTTATTAATGAAAAAAAAGGATAATTAATACCAATTTTCCCAATTTCTTTTAAATCTTCCAATTTTTTTAAAATGGATGGATGTTCGATGGCTGAAGTGATTATGCGCGCTTTTTTATCTTTTCCATGAATCGTTTCAAAATATCTTAATGAACTTTCAATGACCCAATTATTCGCCTACAAATTACAAAAAATTTAGACTCATAAAAATTTTATGAAGTTCATAAAAATAAGGAATAACCTGAATGAAGAAATAATCATTATAGAATAGAAATAAAAATTTCAAATTTAAGAAGTATTTAAAGGAATGAGTGATAATAAATAAACTATTCTTTTGCTCACATCACTACTAATTAGACTGCTTATAAAGATGAGACATATCCAATTTCCAAATCCTTAAGTCCGATACCACATCTGGAAGTGACGGATAACAGATACCGCTTCCCTTTCCAACATATTGCTATGCTCATATATTATGCGGTCTATGCGCCGGAAATCTCATATGACCGTAACTATTCTGATATTATCTGCATCAGCATCCTTGATGCCATCTACCAGAAGATTCGGCATATGTGACAATTCCTGTGATGTTTGGCGAAGAACAAGGCATCAGGCCTAATATTATAGTAAAATATAGAAAAAACGATTAAATCTTGATTCCTTAATTTAATTTGTGTTTTTCTAAAATACTGACTGCTTAAGCTTTTTAATTAAATATTAAATTTTAAATCTTATTAAATTTATTTTAATAAAATTTAAATTATTTTAGCATTAAATTTTTATGTCTGATTTTGAATATTTTAGATAAAAATTTTGGCCAAATTATTAAATCAGTGAATCGTAACAAATTTCCAAATTAATATGCATTGATTAATCAAATATATATGTAAAATTGATTTACAAACTTATAATTTGTTAAAATAAAATAAAAGATTACTTCAGAAGCTGAAGAAGTAAAAAATACTGATTGTTGCGATACTTTAAGCATATGTGCGACTTGATTTCTGGCAAATTCAATTTTTTCCTTCGCATTTTTGCCTAAGAAAAAATTTCTCTGAAATACTTTGAAAATAATTCGAAGATGCGAAAATAACAAAATAACAAATAAAAGCAAAGTTTTTAAAGAAATCTGCTGGAAAAAATTATTTATTATAAATTATTAATTTATTATTGATGTAGGTGTATCAACTGAGAATAAGCACAGAGTAAATGCTGAATCTAAATATCGCTGAGGACCTGTAAATCTAACCAATCTCTAAATGATTTGTTCAAATGATTTTCATGCGAAAAATGATCTCAAGAATGAAAATTTATTATAAAGCATTATAAAGCTTATAAATTTTCCATAAAATTCTTAACGGAAATTACAAATTTCCATGCTAATCTAGATCAATAAAGTGAATAATACAAGTGGCTAGCGCTTAATATTTCCTTCCGTTGGTTGTAAGCACCTGGCGAAAGAAATACACGTAGAATTAACTCCCAGAAACAACGAGAATTTTCAATAGCTACACTCATGCTGGAAGCCGAAATCGAATTCTTATTTCGTTAATACGATAAATCACTTATCTAATCAAATTGTGCTTTACCGTTCACCAATTTTTTTATTTTACATCGTTTTCCGCGTTTCTCTCCTTATGAACCAAAAAATTTCTCCTAGAAATGCATTTCAAGTAAATCGAAATAAATAGCGAGTACCATTCAGATTTCTTGCTGAGGAAATAAAACCGCACGCACTCGGCGCTTTCGAAACAAGCAAAAACTCTCATTGAGCCACCTATCTATTGTTTACAAAAATAATATATTTAAATCCAAAAAGAACTAATGGGCTAAAATTACTAAAACATATGTGCAAAACTGAACTAAGGATTTCGTTATTCGTAATATTAATTACTGGAATAAACTACCGAACGATATAGCCTATGCGCCATCCTTAGCTATCTTTAAAAAAAGAATAGATAATATCATTTATGATATTATTTAAAAAACTTCACATCATGCAGGAAGTGCGAAATAGCGATTTTTACCAACCGATTATAGTTATTTCGAATTGTACTATATTTTATTATGTTGCAATATCCTCTTTATTTCATCTTTAAATTGTTTTATTTATTTCAATTATTATTTATATTTTTTTATTATTTATCATTAATTCTTATTATTTGCTATTTCAACTGATGTTATTAATATAAGCACATGGCGTTTGCGCCCTGCTTGGCTGGTTTTTAATAAATAAATAAATAATATTTATTGATATTATTATAAATAATATAATACAAATAAAATATAATATAAATATAAATAATATAATATAAATAAAATATTAATATTTAAAAATATTCATATTATGTATAATATAATATTAATATTTAATATTTATATTTAGGTATTTATATTTAATATTTATTAATATTAATATCAATAAATATTTTAAAAAAAAAGAAAAGGTAATAAGCAAACCAATTAAATAATTCGAAGATGGATTTGCCCAATAATTCAACGTTTCGATAATAATTTCCTTAACTCGACTATCGATCGGCGTTGTTGCATTGTTATCTAAATAAATTAACGCCGATTCACTTATATACCACGACATTACTATTATTATGAAAATTTATATATAAGTAATTAATATCGTAAACGAGAAATCGTTTTAAGACTGTATTTTTCGATTTAAGATAACATTTGCAGCTCATTTCATAATCGCAATGAATTTAAACGTAGATGAGATGAAAACACTTGAAAATATTTGAAGAATGAGAATGCATGTGAATGCATGTGTATGTGCATGTGTAAATCGTGTATATCATAATTTTTAACCTGTGCTACTGATAAAGACGTAAAACTTTGAAATTTTAAGCACTGATAATATCGATATCAATATATATATACATATATATATATATATATATTTCATTTTACATTGTACCTTTATCAATAAATATTCATTTGAATTGATTCAAAATTTACAGAAATTTCGTACAGCAGCGATTTCAGTTGCTCAGATAAGCTTTTACCGCTTTATCAGTAATAATAATAACAATAATAATTAAGATTAATAATAATAAATAATAAAAATAACAATTAATACAATGATAATAATAATTTATAAATAATAATAAACAATAATAATATATAATAATAATAGTAATAAAAAAATAATAAATAATAATAACAAATAACCTATGAAGCATACATACAAATTATTCGAAGCTTGCAGAAATTACTCATTATTCATTTTCCCCGCTAAACAGCCTTTGCCTGTAGGCTATTTTGAATCAAACGAATACAATTCTTTTTATCATCGTTATATTTACATTCTCCATTGAAGCGTAAGGAGTAGAACTATGGTGACATGGTGACATGGAGATTTTTTTTCTCGTTCCATGTGACCCGGCGCAAAATTTTTTATTAGTGTTTTTTAGAACAAAATTTTTTATTAGTGTTTTTTAGAAATTGTTGGAAATCATTATATCCACATATGATTGTTTTAGTTTTTAAACTGCTTCTCAGTTTTTATTTAAAATTTTATTTCTTATTATTTTTTATTTCTATATTATAAATAACCGAAATGCTATTTGAATATAATGAGAATTTATAATTTTGTCTCATAAATCAAAAATTAATAAAATTTGAGCAAATTATGATAAACTGATAAGCAAATTGTGATAAAACCGATAAGCTGATTTTTATAATTTTTAGAAAATTTTCATAAAAAATTTGACATTGATTTATTAAAAAAATTACACTAAATCAAATCAAATAATATTCTATAAAACAATAAAATTTGTTTGAACTTTGAAAAAAAATTACTTATTTTCATAAATAATCCTTCTTTTTTTTTTTTTTTTCTTGGCAAAATGGTCGTTCATGAGTGACAATAATGACAACATTTTACCGTATCGAAGAGAATTGTTGCGAATCGAAATTTTTATATTTCGACTTTTAATTAATGTTTCTCTATTTAAAAAAAAATAATTATTATTATAATAATAATTTGTAAAATAATAAAAAAAATATTTAAAAATCAATAAAATATAAATTTTTTACGAATATAATAACGATGCTTAAATGTTGAAATATTTGATGAATTTTTTTCATTCATTTCAAGCATGCATGCATCATCGTTTATTGTATACAATTTTCTTCTTTTCATCATTTTACTTTAAATATTATTATTAATTATTATTTATTTATTTTATTTATTGCTTTTTTCATTTATTTTATTTTTTATTATTTATTTATTTTATTTATTATTATCATTAATCATTATTATTATTTATTTTTATCATTGTCAATATTTTTGTTTTTCTCAATTTTATTTTTTTATTATTAGCCTTATTACTATTAGTATTTATTTATTTGTTCAAATATTCGTTTATTTATTTATTTTTCTTATTGAAATTTTTTTAAGGACTTCTCTTCTTGTAATAAAAAAAAAAAGTACTAATAAAGTATTTATAATTGTTTTGTTTAAAAAATTTTTATCCATATTTTTTTTCTTAAAAAAATCCCTACGAAAACGAATTTCCCCCTACAAAAACCGATCCAATAATCTTGTGAATTTTCAAAATTCAATTTTCTATAGGTATTTCGTTCTATAGGTATTATCCATAGATTTTCTTTAAATTTTTAAAACAGACATTCTCCTTTTTTTTTTAAATTTTAACAAAATAATGTTTTAATGAATGAATTGCTGTGAAAAAAAATAGAAATGATTCGCGCTATTTCCAAATTTTTTTATCAGTATTTATCAATTTATCAATATTTTATTATCAATATTTTATCAATATTAAATTTTATCAATATTTTTATCAATATTTAAAGCTTTTTTATAGACGAAAATTGATAATTCAGTTGATCGATGAAAATTATAAATATAATAAAAATTTTCTTTTTCTATGGGCATTTTATTATTTCCGATTAGATTTATTTTACTGACTTATTAGAGCAAATAAATTTTTCGAGAGTATCAATTAAAATCAGAAAAATTTATCAAACAAAAATTCCATTAGCCGTAGAAAAAAGAGCAGCCACACAATACATTATTTTGTGGTATATATATATATATGATATAATGATAAGAGTCTTTAGAGATAAAGGTGCGAATCATTGTCCGAATCATTGTGTAATTTCTGATATTAAGTTCCAAAGCCTGCTTCGAATAGCAATAAATATATCGTCCAGATGGTGCTAGGAGATGCCAAATAACTCTTTGGCTAAGAGAAAACCATTATTGTTTTTCGGTGATTAACGAAGCAAAATAAATTAGAAATTTGAAAAAATATATATATTATATATATGATTAGATGAAATAATAAAATAATAAATAATTAATATTAAATAATAAATATTAAATTAAATATTAAATTAATATTAAATAAATAATAAATATTAAATAATAAATAATAAAAATAGCTAATTGATAAATAAATAAAAAATATAATAAATGTATAATATTAATAAATAAATGAATTAATAAATATAATAATAAACAATATTTTAAATAACAATTAGTGGATTAATAATATTAATAATAAATAATAACAATTAATAATAAATATTAATAATAACAATAATAATATTAATAATAACAATAAAAATAATTTTTGTATGAAAAATTTTTGGTAAAATTTGGTGATAAACATCTGAATTCCTAGATTTAAATCTCTTTATTCCACCGGATTTACTAAATCCTCTGGATTTATTAAATCCACTAAGTCGATCTATTAAATTACTAGATTTGCAAGATCCATTAGGTCTACTAGGATGTACAAAATCAATTCAAACTATTAGATATTGATTTATGCATATTAACTAAAGGTAAAGAAGAGAACAATAGTGATGTTATCAAGTATATGTTATCAGGTATCAGGTATCAGGTTAAAATATATTGATGGTCCAAATATTGGCAAATCACAGCTTCACTGTATCAAAGTAAAAGTGATATAAACAAAAAATATCAGTAGAGTAAAAATTAAATCAGTTTATCAGAGCATTATTAAAGGTATCCGCATTCTACAAAATGCTTAATTTCTTTTTTTTTTTCGCGACTTATTCCCAAGCATTGTGCACTTTTATATTCTCCATAAATATTCATTATTGAGAAATTTTATTTTTTCCTCGAGAAAGCGGCAATTTATCCAAAAATTCTTAAATATTTCGGTGCACCAAGTGTTTCATCGAACCAGCTGAAAATTACTGATTTAGATGAATTTCTGATAATCAAATATCTCACCATTCAAGAAATTTCTTCTAAAGGACCATTATTAATTTTTTTTTTTTTTGAATTCAAAGAGGTTTATTCTATTTTATTGTTTTTTAATTGCTGGCTTAATTCATTTTGCAACAAATTTAAATTAAGGTTACAATGACTTTTTCAGGAAATTTTTATAATGGATTATAATATTCTAAACAATGAACTTATCAAAATCTCACTCGCAAAGTTTGTATTTTTTTCAGCAATTTAACTATTATCAATGAAATCAGTAAAAATGAATTAGTGGAAAAATTATCAGTAAAATTATCAATGAAATGATATCATATTAGTATAAATGAACCGATCTAAAAGATAGCAAAAATCTGCAACTAGGATTAACGAAAATCCTAGAATCGTCTATTGAATATCAAAGTTCTTATTCAACTTTAATGCTAAAATTTATCGTTCTTTCATTAAATGAACTAAAATCGGTTGAAATATGCATTTTCATTTGTTCCAATAAGTTTTAGCCATTTTAATTCATTTTTAGATGGCAAAATAATAGAAATTATAAATTTAAAAAAATAAAAAAAAAAAGATCAAATAGATGAAAAATTTAAAAAGGGGAAAATTGAATTTTTTTCTTTTTTAAAAATTTCAGTGAAAAAATGAATGAATTCGATAAGAATTTAAAGGAATTATTGATAATTAGAGAAAATTTCGAACAAAATTATTTATTTATTGAAGAATGTGAAAAAATAATTTTGGAATTAGATATGGAAAGGAAATTACATGCCGAACAATTACGACAAATCAATCAAGTGAATTTTTTTTTTTTAATAAAATAATAAATAAAAAATAAAAATATTTAAATTTACAAAAAAATAAAGGAAAATTATAATAAACTATTTTAATAAATTTTAATTAATAAGAAAAAAGTTTTGCGATTTATTAAAATTACTAATATAACATAAAATCTATTTTTCTAAGAGTACCACTTTTGGTTCCAACTGAAAATTTTGAGACTTAATTATTTGAGAGAGTATAGTGGTGGAAATTCCGAGACCAGCAACCAGATTTAATGGTACGTTTAATTCTGCTAATGAAATAAAATATGAAATTCTTAAGAGGATTTCTAACCACTTGTAAGGTAACCCACAGAATTCCTCTTTTTCCTCTTTCTCCCTCCCCCTTCTTTATTTTCTATCCTCCCTTTGAATATTCATAGAAGCACTCACCACTGACTAGGAAGGAAAGGAATAAAGAGAGTAATTAGGAAGTAATACAAATGAATTTATAGCACTCGAATTTTTTGATAACTGCAGATTTACACGAGTTAGATGCTGAACCATGTCGCTTGATAATCGCTACACTATTTTCGCCAAATTATCTGAAAC